TTTGGACAAATATTTTTAGACTCTTTTAGCATACCATTTATATCAATTTCGATATCTTCATCAGAGTACGGAGCATTTTATCGTAACTGTAGAGGTAACGCAACGGTCAAAAAGTTCGTATAACGGTGTATAGATGTGAGATGACTATTGACGAATCTATTCAAAGGAAATGTGCCACAATTTCGTGATGCTTTGACCAATGAGTTCAGCAGTAACAGTTGCTGCAGTGATACTATTTACTAAGTTCAGAATTTTCCATTCTTTTACAGGAAGGCAAGTAAACTCACTAACACATGGAAACGTTAATAATGGCGACGTAGTGAAGTGCTCTGTCGGTGAAGGCACAAGGCTTACCGATTGGACATAAATCGACTAAGCTGCGGCCACCACCTTCCTACCTCTTTTTCTTTCCTCATATCTTTGGGACTGTTACCGTGTTACACGAGTATGTAACTATCCCCTGAGTGATTAGCCTTGTTAAAACAAGTAAGAACATTATAGTCGGGCAAGGCCGACACTTAAACACCCTGCAACACTTCGCAAAGGCTTTCGCTGGTGTTGGTAATAACACACCAAATATTGCATCTTGTCTTCATGTGAAGACATATATTTTATGAAAGCCTGCCTGTAGGACTATGCCCAACGCATCGTGTGCCGTGACTTAACAAACTTAATTCAGTTCCCAAAAATATTATTATTTTCGAATATCCGCCATAGAAAACCAGATATTAGACTCTCTTTCCATATAAGGGCGTGCTTTTCATCGTAGCCCTTAGGGTGGCAAAAACAGATCTATGTGATCCCAATTTTTTACTGTTAATTTTTTTGTTCAACTTTGGTCAATAATGGTTATGTAAGAGGAAGTTTAAAAAATTGTCACAGCTGAACAAAATATTTTATACTTATTTAGGATGCCGAGGTAGTATGACTCAGCGAATTTTGTCGTGAAGCTTTTAAAATTGCAATTTTCTCCCATACAACGACGTTTCGAAATAGGACGGGGAGCGATCGAAAAAGTGAACTGGTGCGAGCCATTCGTCAGCGTTTAGACCACAGCACGTCAGTGTACCAAATCTCATCAAGATGCGTCAAAATTTGCAGCCTTTAGGTCGAAATATATGGATAGACATTACACGGACAGACACAGGCAGAGAAATTTATCTCAATTGGGATAACGATTATGAATCGAACAATTAACAAAAGGTTGGACTGCCTTCGGAAGTCCTTCTGAAGATTACGTATGTGCGCGTAAATTTAATACACCCTGTACCCTAAGTTGTGTAACTTATACAAACGCAAAAAACTTTTTCTTGTTTTTGTTGCATTTACTTTTCAGTTAGTTTTGGTATCTTCATAGCCATGATTAAGAAAATATTTGCCAAGGACATTATACAGACCAACAGCCAGGCATGGTCACATCTTCTCAGAATTTGGTGCTGATCAAGAATATATAAGGTGTACAAATAAATTGCATCCTTCCTTCCTTCAATCTTTTGCGATTTATCGTATAGCTTAAGGATGTCCTCACGGTAAAAACTTGCCATTTTGGAGTTGCAATACCCATCGAAGATTCGGTAAACCGTTGTCCTGCTACGTATGACAGCATTGATTTGAATAAGAAGTAATCGGAAGGGAAGAACATCTGGAGAACATAGCCGGCGCGGCAAAACTTCTCAGCCTAAGCTGAAAATTATTTCCTTTATTGTTTTTGTGGAGACAGACGGACCTATGCGAATTTCATCGTATTTGTGGCCTCGAAACCTCGCAATTTACTTTCTAATTATTTAGTGCCAAACATAGAATAACGTTGTGCCGTAAATGGTATGGTGATATACACTGAATGAAAGCTTGCAAACAACTGATACTTACATCGTTCTTACATCAATATATGAGTTATATACGCTTAAAATATCGGAAAAATTGAACGAGTCAGGTTTATAAAGCAACCAGCGGAAGAGAATTTATTGATACACCTATTATACAGTTTCTGCGTCCTCTGAAGCGTCCTTGTCGGCATTGCGAACGTTTGGCCAAAGTAAATACACCGCCCGTCTTCGGGTATAAAAACAGACTTAACAATCTTGATGCAGTAAGGGTTCTTTTTATAGATGGAGCTTTAGATAGTCGGGCACAGTGACTCTGATATTCACGATTATCAAGAATAAACAGATCGGAAATGAACAGGTGCTCGGACACGCAGGTTCTTTGTTAGAGTCACAAAGTTCTCGTTGCAAAAAAAAAAATATATACGAAAACCGCGAAATAGAAGCAAGTTTAACATACTAGCACAAGACACTTTTGAATCGCGTCGAAACGGAGAAAAAGTCTACATTCGCAGTTGATATATAGACCATGGTGTCCTAGGCACTTATTTTAAAAAGTTCTCATTAACTATTTTCCAAAAAAAAGTTCTCATTAACTATCTTACAAACGTCACTTATTTAAGGAAAATAACTTAGAGATTTTATCAAAATATTACCAAAGAAAATTTTAGAAAAAGATTTTTCTTTTTATGCCCACCACCGAACGGATGAGAGAGATAATCATTTGGCGAAACGTTTACAACGCCTTGAGGGAAGCTTCAAAAATCTTGCAAAGTAGATATATTCTTGGTCAGCATCAAATTCTGAATCGATTTCCGTATGTCCATCTGTCCATCTGGCTTTCCTCTCATTACCCAGAAACCACAATAGATAAATCCACAAAAAGTTGAACATATATTCTACAGGCGACGCTGTACGAGTGCCTGTACAAAAGTGCAAAAATTGACCACACCTACCCAATATTATCATATATTAAATTTTTTTTTTTCAATATCTTAATAACACGCGGAATCAAGCATCTAAGCATTTCCTTTTGTTCGTCTATCCATCTAACCGTCTATTAGTCAGTCCTTCTCAGCCCGTGTACCCAATTGCACCGTATCTGTGGTATACATTCTCGCAGAGAAAGAAAGAAACATCGCCTACAAATTTTCAAAAGAGTTTGAAAAACAGATCAAAAAACACAATTACAGCCAAAACTGAGAATATTTTTGGTTGCCGTCTTTTTTGCTCCTTGCTCATAAATTTTTCATACAAAAATGCAAAAAATCATCCACGTCCAGCTAATATTATGTATACCATTTTCTATATCCCTGTTTTTCAATCTTTCATAGGATGGGTGCATAAGATTTGTTCCGAATCCAATATATTATTTTTACGTCTTTAGGATAATCGTACAGATGGGCACAGACGATTCGGTGAGGACCGAATATAATATATTTCATTGTTTTCTTTTTCAACGCTTCAGTCCCCAGGCTTAATCGGCCTATATGACTTGTTTTAATTTTTTTCCGACACTTAATTTTTTATTTTTTTTGTCTTGCAGCAAAATTACATCTTTTTTTATATACGTTGCCAATTAAAAATATAAAATTATTTACATACACTATCAAACTACCACGTATGTAAATATTTATGCAAGTCGTGAACATAAATAATAACACAAAATAACACAACGCTAGTAAAACGTTATTAATTTGATAAACACGAAAGCTAAACAAAAAAACATTTACGATACAACGTACACACACACACACACACACACACACACACATACACACACATATGAAAAACAAACTTATAAAACACATTTAATAAATAATGAAGTAATTATACCATAAACAGGCGAGAGAGCAGGGAAAGCGATAGAAAACGCTACCGTAACACAAAACAATAACAAAAAAATGAAAAATACAAAAATAAAAATATTAAAAAAAAATTATAATAAATACAATGTTTTGCATTTCATAAGCACTCAGCGATTCTGTCTGTCTGTCAATCAGTCCGTCACAACCGTGTAAACTATTGACAAATAAATGTTTAATAAATAAATAATGCTACGAATATAAACAGCAATAAGAAGACCAACGGTAATAACAACAATAATAATAATAACAATATTGATAAAAAAGTAAAAAGAAATAAAACAAAATTATAAAGATAGAGCTCACGACAATTGCTAGCTTACTGCTGGCTAGTGAGAAGGAGCATGATAAACAATTATAGAGGGGCCATGTTCTTCTTTTTGTAAAGCTTAAGCTTTTCATGGGTTTGTGTTTAAGTATACTATACTATACATACTGTATATATATATATATATATATATATGTATATGTTTGTCAAAAGGAATAAAGCATTACTTTCCCGAAAAAAGCATTCTACTGAAAAATCAACATGAAATGAAACGAAAAACAAATAAGAGACCAAACAAGCGTTTGATATAATTTCAATTTTCCAATGATAAATTGCCTACGGTACCGATAAACTGACGACAACAAAAACAATAACAACAACAACAACGACGACAAGAAACGAATAAACGAGCAATTGAGTAAATATCAGTTGAATTGATATATAAGTATATATGTATATATGTATGTATATAGTAAAGTATTTGTATAAATTGTTGATTAGTTTTGAGAAAGCAAACAGAAACTGAAACTGGGGAGCAAACGAGAAAATATAACGTACATACATATATATATATATATATATATATAAAGGAAAGGTTATATATAAATATGGGGCGAGAGCATTTATTGCTTAATAAATATTGTAGGGAGTCAATGCTTACGTTTTGTGTGATAAGTTCCTTTCATATAATAATAATAATAAAAAGAAAAAAAAAAGAAAATTTTATATGAAATAAATATGAAAACAAATATTAGCATTGAACTACAATGTTGACAACTTTTCCAAGATGTATCAACATTGATATATGTGAATAAATGGATCGATGAATGGATGAATTACTTGTGCGGACAGTTCAGTTAAAGTAAGTTAGTCGAATCGAGTTTATATAGTTATTATAATTTGTTTTTATTTATTTATTTATTTTTTTCTTTTTTTTTTTTTCTTTCTTTCTTTCTAATCAAGAAAATTGAAATACAATGAACTTTATCCACTCTCCCTCCCACTCAAGCGAAAGAAAGCTTTATATTTACTTAATCAAAAGAAAATAAAAATAAAGAAAGAAAATTAATATACACCTTAGGGGCGAATCTTTGATATGTAATAACTTAAAATAGTATAAGAAAATTGTTCAGTATATTAATGATTGGTAGGTCTGCTAATTTTCTATAACGTCTATCGGGAATAGAATAAAATAAAATACTAGTTCCGGAATAAAATCGTCTGTTGAGCTGAGTTAAGTCTTTTCGCAATCTCCGATGTTATTAAAAAAAAAAAGAAGAAGAAGAAGAAGAAGAAAAAGTATCGTTTTCGATCACATATGGTCGCCCAAATCAAAGTCGATATCACCTATTCAAAATCTTTTAAACTATCTTGTGCATGTTCTATCAGAGACTGTACCTTCACCAAACACTTTCAATACATTTCTGTGCGCCTCTGTAGTATTTTTTCCTTGTTGGAATGCTTGCAAGCTGAGGTAAATTATTTGGTAACGTGTTTATGTGTTTGAACAAAAAAAAATCTAAGAAACTGTCATTTCCGAGACGGAATATTTTATAGACTCAGGTATGGCTGGAGAGCATGGATTCATTTCTTGTCCTAGGTATCCTGTTTGATCATAAGCTTCGATTCAATTTGAATACTTGTTGAATACTTTGTGCTACGCTTCATTAAACGCTGGTCAAGGGAATTTGACGAGCCACGTGTGAAGAGAAGATTACAAGTCAGCTTAGTGTGCCCTGTATTGGAACACGCCTCGGTCGTATCGTTGCTATGTGAACTCAATTAAATCAATTTTCATTGTTTGCTCTTAGAAATTTGTGTTGAGATCCAAGCGTCCCCCTCCCTCCTTATGAAAATAGGTTACTACTTATATTCTTGCCGTCACTTGTGAAAGGTAGGTAGGTGCTACTGACTCGTCTTTTTTGTCAAGTGCGATTAATTTTAACATTCCTGTCCCTCCGAGAAGGAATTTTCTTTTTATTAAACTCAACCAATGCAGGTTAAATTATGAACTTTTTAATCCGCTTACGTTTCTCTATTGCATTCATTAAGACCCATTCACTGCCGATGCCTTACCTAAACTGATAGTTAAAGCTTAGTTTGATGGGTATGTGATAGGCACATTGGTTATTTTCTTATATGCTTTTATTAATTGTCTATTGTTTTAAGGTCATTTTGTTTGAATTGTAATTAGGTTAAGTCTTCAAATTGATGAGTTCCCCAATTCAGCTGAACCATCACTGTATCTGAATTCTGCATTTATGGAAAATTAAATTAAATAAATTATAATCTATATAGGGCCAGAAGTCAACTTTCAACTAGTGAATCGTCTTAATCGTGGTACACTTGCTAGGTCAGTATGTACACATTCACCGATAGAAAGAGCCCTTTCTGTAACCGCTACTGCAGTACGCAGTAAGGTAGTCAAAGAGATTTGTACAGTTATTCAATTTTCAATTCAATTACATGGATAACGGATAAATTAGGCGGCTTGTTGCAATTATGTACACTACAAGGCTTCACCATAGCACTTATCACTATATATGTATGAGGTGTATTCAAAGAAAAAGAGTTGATTTTTCAAATTTCATGGGCTATGGACATTCGTTGTTGATGCACTTGTACCCAACCTAAGACATTGTCAGCTATTCTGCATTTTTAGTTTGTTTTTGACAGAAAAAAAACTTGGACTTGTGTTGGTGTGATTGGCGAATTCTTGCTGTCGAGAAAAATGAATCAAAGGAAGCGGCACACAAGCTCATCATAGAAGACCGAGAAGATGTTAATGACACCCAAGTACGTCAACAACCGACGAGAACGTTGAGGCAATAGAAAAAATTCTTTAAGAGAATCGTGGAATCACTATTAGAGAAGTTGCGGATGAAGTCCGCAATGTCGCTCAGCTTATGCTATGCAAATTTTTCTTCCAATATCTTGGGCATGAACGGTGTGGCAGCTAAATTTGAATAATGTGCCAATTCATATCTGATTGCTTGTTCGACTTTTTACTGTTCTCAAAACTGAAAAGACACATGAAAGGAGGCAATTTCATCACGATGAAGGAGATAAAGATCACTTCGCCGAAAGAGCTCAAGGTCATGCCGGAAGCGCTTCAATGATTAGAAAAAGCACAAGTGTATTACATAAAGGGAGGATTACTTAAAATGGGACAAAGTAGTTGTTGATGAATAAATAAATATTTTCCGAGTCACCGTACTTTTTGAACACAACCCCTGTATATGTATATGTGATTAAAAAGCCAAGAACAGAGCCAAGTTTTGGGCATTTTCGGCAAATTCAGAAAACTCCGCTAAATCTGCGGTTACTAGTTAGTAATAATATTAGATCTTATCGCGAATTTTTATTGACTATCATCGATTACATCTAACGTACAAGCATTTAGAATTAGCATTGAGTCTGAGATATTGATTTGCTAAGAATCCTAAATGGATTAAATAATTTACATTGGCTTAGTTTTATTGGCTTAGTTTTATTAACTGATAGTTTTTTGAGTAACGAACTGATATATTAAAGCTGTTTTCACTCAAAAAGGCTTTCAAATGAATAAATCGAATAATCAGCTTTACCATGAGTGGAAATCCCTTGGATAAAACGCCGTTTCTTCAGAAAGGGTAATGTTACGATTGTGGCCAGGTTCCTTAAGGCGAAAAGCAAGAAATGATTTTGAAGCAATTTCGATTGATTCAACATAGCAGCGATAGATCGGAGACATATGCCAATATTTTGCGTACTAAGGCCATATGCAGCTTAGCAACGACCTTTGGATTTTAATGGGATTTTGCAAAAAGCAGTCTTAAATCGTGAGCCGTATCTGTGTCTTTTAGCTATTTCCTGATAATGAAATATTTGTGTTTTTTTTTTTTATGCAGAGACGAGAATCTTCCTCTGCCGCGCTATTTATCTGTTAAGATATTTTCCTGCACATTCGTTTTTATATTTTATTATCTGCTAAAAGATGTATTTACATAAATGTTGGCCGGCAATATTCTGACCTACATTGTACAATGTAAACAAATTATAAATAAATTTTTTTTCCTATTTGAAACAACACATATTTACACCATTGATATTTGAAAGTAAATTTTATAATTTTTATCTTTATGACAACTAGCTTCAGAATTTCAATATTAGAAGAGGAGGGGATTTACCAATTGCGAGTGTGTGACATAATAATGAGTGTGTATTGAAAATTGCACATAATTATACGAGATAAATAAAATGAAATAAAGAGTAGACTTTCAATGGAATGAAATTATCTTTAGAAAAATGTATACACAGTGGCCAGTGTTTTTCCATTATTCACTAAGTTACTGCTTTCAAGTCGAACCTAATTAAACACTTATTCCATCTTGCTTCCCTTTTGCTTGCCTCTTAAGTATTTCTGGCTACCATCGTATGCACATTTATAGAAGATATGTTGTAAGTGGCACAGTGGTAACACTGAAGCTACCAGATATGTTAATTTGATTCTTGCCAATTATCGAATTTAAAAACAAGTAAGAACATTATTGTCGGGCAAAGCCGAGTATTAAATACCCTACATCACATTTAGTAACACAATTCTTATTTTTCCTATAAAATTACTATTATGGGTCAATTTTCATTAACATATCTTGCAACTTGGACTTTTGTACTTTACAAAGAAAACAAATTTTCGTGAAAATCCTTATTAGAGTAGGATCCAAAAGAATAATCCGAGATGTTTCATAAATTAAAAATTATACTTTTTTGTCTTGGACCAACCCGAACTATTTTCAATAGCGTTCATCCACAAGTTAGAACATGTCACTGTACTGAATTTCATCAGTATATCTCACCAATTGCGACTCTTAGCTTGAACAGACATCAGACGGACCGGACAGGCTTTGATCAATCCAGATTCTGCCGCTGGGTATTACATACATTCGCAATAATTTAATACACGCCGTACTACAAGTGATGTAGGGTATAAAAATTGTCGGTAAAGCAAATGCAAAGTTCGATAATCTATTGGTGACTTCCATTTCTTTAGAAAGACTTTTAAATACATATAATCAATTTTTTTCCATTGGGTCAAGTCTAATGACATGCAATGGGAAGTGAGCGAGATGTACCTGGAAAGAAAAATTTTGTCTTATTTTGTTTCGGGAAACTGCTATAGAGTTGTTCCCCAGAACTAGTTGCATGTCGCTTTAAAAATGAACGCGAACGGTTAACAAGAGGCACACAGCTAGGGATTAAACATGTGACTTGACCTTTTTGCCTTCTTTTACGTTTGTTGAGTTCTATGCCTTCTTATACTTTCACATGTCGCTTGAATTTCATTTGGGATAATCTTTACTAGCTATAGTCGCAGGAGAAAGAAAAAAAGCTTGTTTCAGTTTTTTTATTTATCCTGTGCGTAGATTACACCAATTTTGTAATCTTGGATGGTTTTGTTGTTGTTGGATTGTCAAGAAGTGGTTGTGCCAAATTACACTTTGCTTTATACCCTCCTAGAGAACTACGGATCTAATGAACTCATTTTAAGAAGAAATGGATATATATATGCAAAAGATCGTTAGTTCTAATGTTCAATATAGAAGAAAAAGTTTTTCTTGAATTCTCGAAAAAGTTTTCAATACCGTTTAGATAGGCAATATTAAAGGATCTTATAAGAAACGTTCAAAGTGCTTAACAATAGTTATAGCGAATTGGCCAAGGGGGGTTTAACGAAGATGAGCTGATGGGCGAGTCAAATGAGTTAAAAATGAATTAGAACTCTTCGATTGTCCAAAGCTAACCACAAAAGTTACAATTCGCAATGCCTTTCGAATTTTCGAATTTCAAGTCATACACATGGTCTTCCTCTAGCAGCTGTTACTTTCATTAGGGTGCAAAGTGCAAATTTCGATTCGAAACAAACGTTGTACTATCATTACTTAACTTAGGCTTAACTAAAAAGCAATTGACAAAAAAATGAAGCATAGGACATAACCCTGAACGACTTGACACCCATTTATTGGGTTCACATGATTTTTGATGGGGTTTTTATGAAACTTTCTTTCTATAGCAAGTTCTCGCAACGTTACGCATAAATTTGCCTTCAGTAACACACATCCGTTTCTTCCTTATCAACTACCGTTCGATTTTTAGAACTTTCTCCACCTTCAAGATTCGTGTTACTGTTCGTAAGCAGCATCGTTAGTTTGTTTAATGTTCTCTCGTCGAACGCGTTGTTGATTTTACGAGCAATTTGTTGTACTTTATGCCCTAGTTTGAACTCCTGCAAGAATATCACTCACTCAATTGCCCACTCGACCCGTTCTCATGAATATCATAAAAAATAATGGACATAAAATAATGGTAAACATAAAACCAATGGCAGAGAGAATTATGAAGCGAAATGTTTGTTTTAAAATAACACATAGCATGAATACATTACAAGAAGTATCGCAAAAGCAAGTAGCAAAGGCACATGAGTAAACAAGGAAAAAAATTATATTCGATTGTCACCGCATTTTTTATACCCATCATCTTCTGTTCTAAAAGAGACTAAAGAAAGGCAAAGAACTACATTTTCATACTCTACAATATTGGGTGGGCGTGGCTGGCTTACATTATTTTACAGAATGAAAGTGAACATTTTTAAGGTCTACTTTATCAGTGGTAGGCAAATAACATGGAATTAAAAACGTTTACAGTTTTTGTCCCATAGGCGTGTAGATCTTTTGACCGCTTTGAGGCCTTTTTGGCAAATTTTTTGTTATTTTCGCGAACGAGGGAATATTCACCACAGACAGATGGACACGCCAAGAACTTATATAATTTGTGAAATTGCTGAAGCTGGCTTCTAAGCATTCTAAA